ACCGGCTCCCCCTCCATAGCCACCGGCTCCCCCTCCATAGCCACCACCAAACCCAGAACTTCGGAAACCCCCTGATCTTTCGTTTGCATAATTCACTTTAATATACCTACCATGGAGATCCTGGGGAGAGATTAAGTTTTGAAAGTGGTGAGGGAATATAATCTCAACAAAAGAAGAAAACGGTTACTGAGAAGATCAATACAAGTTTTCTAAAAAATGACTGGGCAATCAATAGTAATTACCTTTCCATCCATTCCCTGGATAGCGCTAGAGGCTTCCTCAGAAGAAGTGTATGTGACAAAGCCAAAGCCTCTTGACCTACCCGTTTCACGGTCCACAATAACTCTAGCTGGAGAAATTACAGAAGTTGGGTCAGCACCAAGAAATAATATTCACATATACACATACCTTCAGGAAACAAGTTCCGTCCAGCAAAGGTAACCCATTTCAAAATGACATAACTTAGACACTCAAGTTCCTACTTTCCAGAAACACAGGAAGTTGTCTTGTCAGAGAAGGCTAGTTACCTTCAACGACATCACCATATTTACTGAACTCTTCTCTCAAGCTTTGCTCATCTGTGTTATACGAGATACCTGTAACAGGTTCCGAAGTTAGGGAAATAATGCAAACAGTTACCGAAAACCCTTGGTCATTCCAACTGTCACCTAGACTCACCTCCAACAAAGACCTTTGAAGATGACATGCACCTTATCGCTTGGAAAATTGACGGGCTTGATGAAGAGCTCTGACCATTGAGCTGCTTGGTTGCAGTCTGCTTGAGTAAGTTCCCAAACTTACTGAAGAACGCCATTGCTGATTTGCTATATAACACAAAAGACCAGATTTAAGCGGTTAAAACACAAGTTGAGATCCCCTCTTTCGTCCACGTAAACTAAAATTATCCATTATCAAAATACAAATAGATCACCACAAAAAATTTTATACAAGCAAAGTTTATATTCGCTTAATCTTCTCCACAAAACCTGAAACAAAACCCAGAAACGACCATGCTCTTCTCAAGGATAATATATTAACAACCCGGATGAGGCAGACTCTTCACCCCTCATCCTTCATCCATTCAAAATACCTCACTTTCTCGCCACTAACCAAACAATACTTCAGAAAGCAAAACCGTAGAAATGGATATCGTAAAAATATCACGTCATACATCGCAGCAAACTAATCCGTAACGCCGAAACTATGAAAATCACGGAAAGAGACAAGAGAAAAGAAACCAGAGGCGAAGAAATGACTGCCCATCGATCCAGATCAATCAAAATCCCAAAAGGGCAAAAAATTAGTACACTTGAGATGAACACGAGAAGGCGAAGCACGGAAGCAAAATAATCGCAGAATTTTAACCCGATTTTCTAGGGTTTATAGAAAGAAATGATAGTGACGATCACCTCTGTCTGCACTTTCTCTTCCTCACTGATTCTCGTTTCCTGGGCTCAAACTAAAACCCTAGAAATTCGAGGCAGGGTTTATGTAGCGAGGCTGTGACGATCATGACCATTGATTTCGTGCTTAGTTAATCTTGACCGTTGAAAATACATCAACGGTGAAACTAGAAGTATTTGGAAAATTCTTACACGCGTAGCTTCTTCATTGGATGTCTTTGTATAATTTTGTGACGGTAAAGTAAAGTTCTCACTTTTAATCATTATTTCACAACCGCCCCATTTGTTTTAGTTTTCTATACATTAAGCCCAAACTTCGTTTCAAATGGAAGCCCAAACTCTTGTATGTTCTTGTTTCATCCATTTTAGGATTTAACATGGTATTGAGAAACTAACCATATGCAAAACAAATTTAATTTATAATCCCAACTTTATTTCAATCTTCAACCTTTAATAGGAGTGTATGCAAAACAAATTTATTTCATAATATATTATTTCTCTCGATTTCTTTTAAGATGGTCATTTTTTATGTTCACAATAGGAAATTGGAATTATATGTCGATTTTTTAAAATATTTTTCCATTTAAGCTGTAGATGTTCTAAAATTAGAAAATGTCTTTAAGGTTTTTGACCCAAAAAAAAAAGTGTGACTTTTGAAACACTATACGAACAAATAGGCCTGAAACATAAATATTGAGAAGCATTGGGGTCGTATAATAATTATGCATCTTTAATTTTCGCCTACCCGACACACCGGCAGTCAATAGATGCCGGAATTTTCAGTTCCCCTAATCAAATCTGGGAAGTCCCGGCGACTTTTCACCGGAAAGAACTGATTGTCGGAGAATTCGAGTACCCGATGGATCATAATCGAAGACCCAGAAGCGTTCTGGAGACTTTAGGCGAAGAAATCATCAGAATCATCACGCCTGTCTCGATATGCATGTTCGTGGTCGTTCTTCTGGTCTGTGTCCTAAACTCCGAGTCGTCGTCTTCATCCGCCTCTGTCTCCTCCATCGCCACCGCAGCTTACGCCGAGAGCGATTCCGACTCTTCCTGGGACAAATTCGTCGGTGCCCTTTTGAACTCTCTCGTGTTCGTCGCTGTTATCACCGTCGTGACCTTCCTTTTGGTGCTTCTCTTCTATCTCAGATGCGTTAGGTTTCTGAAGTACTACATGGCCTTCTCCGCTTTCATCGTTTTATGGATCTTGGGCGGTGAAATCTCTGCATTTCTGATCGAGAATTTCAGAATCCCAATCGACTGCGTCACGTTTCTGATCGTTGTATTCAATTTCGCCGTCGTCGGTGTCTTGGCCGTGTCCATGTCGAAGTTCTCTATTTTCGTCACCCAAGGTTACTTGGTTTCGATCGGAGTTTTGGTCGCTTACTTCTTCACGCTCTTGCCTGAATGGACAACTTGGGTCCTTCTTGTCGCCATGGCATTGTACGATCTTGCTGCTGTTCTTCTCCCTGTCGGGCCATTGCGGCTCCTCGTAGAAATGGCCATATCTAGGGACGAAGACATTCCCGCTCTGGTCTACGAAGCTCGCCCGGTAATCCATGACGACTCGGGTTTGGTTCAAAGGAGGGTGTGGAGAGAACAAAGAACTATCCATGTGAATCCTGGTGTTGTAACTGAAAACCTTAACCGGGAGGATGTAAGATTGGCCGGAGCAGAAGAAGGGATGATGGTTTCTGGTGGAAGTTCAGAGCTTTCCATGCCACTGATCGATCATGGTCACAGACCCGGCACTGAGAGTTCAGTTCAAGTTGAGAATTTTCTGGAAGGAATCGGGTTAGGATCATCGGGTGCGATCAAGTTAGGGCTTGGGGACTTCATCTTCTATAGCGTTTTGGTTGGCAGAGCCGCAATGTACGATCTGATGACGGTTTACGCCTGTTATCTGGCCATCATAGCCGGTTTGGGAATCACTCTCCTGCTCCTGGCGGTTTATCAGAAGGCCTTGCCGGCTCTTCCTGTATCAGTCATGCTCGGTGTGTTGTTTTACTTCATGGCACGGCTGTTGCTCGAAGAATTCGTTGTTCAGTGTTCTTCGAACCTGGTGATGTTCTGAAAGGATGGTAATCCAGGTTGGGTGAAGATCTGTTCTTATTTGGTAAATCTGAAGCATAAAATGTAGGATATTGGTATTCAGGTTGAGTGAAGTTGTTATTCTTTTCATGAAATTGCTCTGTTTTCTTGATGAATTACTGCAAAATCCTTCTTGTTTCTGCAGCTTAATGGGAAGTAGATTCTCAAATTACAAAAGACCAAACTCAAGTACATTGTCCGTGGCCCGACCAGCCCATTAGCCGCGAGTTTCGGGTCATGGTTATCCAAGTCTCGTGAGACTGAGACCGAGATAATACCCTCAAGATACCCCGTGGGAACGAGGAAAAGACCGCATACCCCAAAACTCCGGCACCCGCCCACCCTATCTACGTCATAGATAATTTTTATAATTTAGCTGACATCCTTGAACTTTGACTGATTCATTCCATTGAAGAATACTTCAAACTGTTTCAAGGCTTTCTTCTGCAAAATTCCTTAACAGAAAACCACGCAGAGAAAGAGCCAGAAAGTCAACAGTCATAATAAGAGATTCAGAGTCACTTTCTTCCAGCTAGAGGAGAAGTCCATTCCTGAAACCTGTGCAAACTCCCTGTGAAATCCGTGAACAAGCCATCCACACCGATCTTATCGATCCAGTACTCGTACTCAGCGTACGGGTCCTCGTAAAACTCCAAGTGCAAGAACTGGTTCTCGTTTCGGTATGTGTACGGATGAACCTTGTTTGGTTTTGAACAGATTTAGTTGATAATGTACATGAAAGGTTCACAACCAATCACAAGAGAAAAGGAAATCCAGACACTACCTGAAGATTTCGAGCGTGTGCTCTGGCGATCAGATCCGTCGGGGTAACGAGATGGTTGCTGTTCACGGGCACAATAGTATCCTTCCACGGTCCAATTCCAATCACGTATTGCTTGATGTAATCCAGATAAGCATCCGATGTAATCTCCTCGTATGTCTGAGCAGTCAGATTTTAAAAACATAAAGTGTCCGAAAACTGTATTGACCCAAAAGTGAAAAACAGAGAGGAGATGGAAGAGGAAACCTGGCTGGTGTCTTCGGTTAGAACAGTGACATCGTCTATCAAGAAGACTTTCGGTGAGTCAGTCAAGTTTGATATGGAGACGAGCGATGTTGGAGCAAAAGACTGAATAAATATCGGTTGTTTCAACCATTCTTCAGACATGTATGAACCTTCGTATCCGTATTTCTTCAGCGTCTCGGCGATTTTATCCTCAAATTTCTTGCCATCAGCCCATTGCACCTGCAGAAATTTCCAGTAAAACCATCAACTTTCAGTCTCTCAGCTTTTTATTTGCATTCTGAAGAGGGATTTTTATACAAGGCTTTGTAGACTTTTACTCACGTGCTGGTTGATAAAAACCGGGTTCTTGATCTCTGGATATATGCCCACAACCCTGGGTGCATCCATCGCGATTGAAATGTACTCCTCGAATGTAATTATCTGGAATTTTCCTGATGGAAACCAAAAAGAATGAATATCTCGTCTCCGTTCATAATGTGCTAGTCAAGAAATTCAAGGAAAAGTCGATATACCGTTATACTGCTGATCCCGAAAAGGATACCTCTGCTTCACCCGGAGTGTCTTCAGTTCTTGGAGAGTAAAGTCAACTGTTCAAGAACAAAGAAACGTCGAAAGTGATTGTTGAACTCCAAAGAAGTCAGACAAATGGCCAAACAAACCAAACCCATATGCATGTTACTAAGAAACTACTTCGTCAAAAAAAACTTTCTTAGCAACATTTTCTCGGCAGCCAAACAGTAGAGGTTAGTCGCAGCTTCTATATTTTTTTCGGCAGAGATGCAGCAAAACCGTTAAAATTGTGAGAAATCTTCCTTTAAAACCAAACATTTTTCAGAAAATTTCGTAGAAACCCACAAACCCATCAAGCAAAAACACCATGAAAATCAATGATATAAGTTGCAGCCTACCAGTGACTGATTGGATATCTTTTATAATACCGTGTGATGAAGTTAAAGGTTGAATTAGCATAAAAGAAGTTGAAAACCGTATTCGGTACAAATTCAAGGCTTGTTCGAATCCTCTTCATCATAAAAAGCTGAAGACTAACAAGAAAAAGGTTAGATTTTAGTATTATACCAATGAAGAAGCCGGTTAAGTTCGTCCCCGCAACTTGGTAAGTTCTCTTTCGGTCTGCAAACTCCTTGTGTTCTGCAACATCAGATGTCTCATCAAGAGTGAGATCGTGATTACACACGAGGACACCGTCCTTTGAAGACAATATATCCGCTTCTATGAAATCTGCACCCTCCTCGATTGCTCTCTGCAGGAAGTTAAGTCAGTTTCCATGGAAATTCTTAACAGAGAACACTGATCATATGCAATGAATCAAAGACAGAAACTTCATTTTGATCCACTCAAGAAACCCGGGGCAAAAACCTCAGAAAATCATGTTGATTCGGGTAAAAATTAGAAACTTTATGGATTTAAGTAATAGCAACCCTTTAGATTATCAGAACAAAACAACCATGGAATCACTGCCGAAGTTATACCATATACGACGGGGCGGTTTCTTCTGGGAACTCCCCGTTTGAACCTCTGTGTGCGACGTTAAAAGGACGTGAAGTCTGAAGCGGCTGCTTAGTTCCATCTGGTGCTCCACTCGGGAGACGATACAAAGGCCTCGAAGAACATCCAATGATCAATGACAGCAATACCAACGGCAGAAAATCTGTAGAAAATTTTTCACAACGGCAAATGGCTCTTTCATGTTTCAGATCATTTTAAAGAAACAAATCAAAGAGACACTTGGTAAAGTAGCTGCTGAAAAATGCTGAGATGAAACAAAGTCGATGGCCAAACATGGGTTCATGCATTTGATTCTAACAGTCTAAATCCAAGAATTAACAGAGATATGGAAAGAGAACATCATGAACTCCATCTGCCATGTTCATTCACTGGTGTCTGAATCTGGGAACTTTCTATTATCTTAAACAACTTTAGTTTCACTAAAAAGGGCGCATTCGCACGTATTTCTGGAAAGAAACCAAACAAAACCTCCATGAACGACACCAGAGAAACAGAACAGAAACAGCACCAAAACCAAATCTTTGAGACGCTTCAACTCTGCAAAAACCTAGAAACTAGAGAAAGAAAAAAAGAAAAAGAACAGAATTTCCACCATAATCGTCGAAAAGGTCAAGACTTCACACCTACAGTTCAGACCCATGACTGGATTTTGTTTGTGGAATCCTTCCAGAACCCTAAAATCAGAGTCCGCACGCCACGCACACTGCAAATCCTGCAGCTTACCTGAATATATAGAAGAAAAAGTTTGCATGCAACAGGAACGTAACGAACCCACCCGAAAGTTCCGATCTGTAAAAGAATATTCCTTTCCAATATGAATTGGAAATCCGGAAGGAACGCTCTTTTTTTCCTGTTGTTGTTTTTCTTTTTATTTTATTTTAAAAACTCTTCTCCGTTGACAGGAGAATCTTTACTTCCAGTCTTCCACAGTTTCACTTGGAAGTTCAAATCAGTATACGAACAACATTGTCCAATGTATACATACATATATATATATATATACGTAGAATCTCCCGATTTGTGCATCCCCAGGATAAAGACATTAACGAGTTTAGAACTAGTTTCACTTGAGCCTAATATGGATGGTTCAATGTAGTGTTAGAATATAGCATATGATAAATCCAAACACAAGAACGTTAAGACAGATGACACGGCAGAAACATATGATCCCATGGATTGCATCTTTTATGGTGCCAAAAAAAAATCATATCAGTTGCAGCACAATGCTCAGGTCAGCAGTACAATGGGAGGCACAGCAGCAATACGACTGTTGGCGTAAAGTAAAAATCTAAACAAGGATTATTCGTTTATCCCTCAAACCGCCATGAGATCACCACAGTTGCGCATCAAGAAGATAGATCCTGCAAACAGTCCAGCCGCTCGGAGAAGTTTCTGCAGAAGGTGAAACCGAGAGACACATTGTTAGAGTGCAGAAAACCATTGAATAGACAAATCAATCCAAGATAATTGATTATGAGCAAAAGAATGTAATGCAACGCAAGATCCACGCGTTAAGGCAGCCTGGTGATTAAGATCTTGCTGTTTCTATCTAATTACGGTCCTAGGTTATTTCCGTTGTTTTCTCTGTTAGAGGCTTGGTTTTAAAAATGCATGAGGCCCACCGAAGAATAAAAGCTCCAACTTAGATCTTTGGAATTTACTGAACAGAGGAAGAGCAAAAGATGTTTAACAATGTTATGCATCACATTGCTTCACCTGTCTGAAATTACAGAGGGTGACACTACTTCTATCAAACGTGTGACGATTGTGATCTTTATCAATTCTACCAGCTTCCATTTTTTCACCAAATTAGAAACAGTGCCAAAGGTTTCATCTTTCCATGGGTGTTTAACGTAGGGTTGAGGATGGATTCATGAGACTTGGCAAGCTCAAAACAACTAAAATAAAAAAGCTTATCCTTAGAAAGAAACTCCAGCTAGAAGATATCTCTAGAAAGATGCACATGGCAACTGAAGTCCTCAAATCCAAAGAGGATTCCGTCGAATCAAGAGAGAATCTGGTAAGTGTCTAAGACCCTTTTTTTATCTTCAATGTTAGACACAAAATCCGACAGCCCGAATGCCATTATCAGTAAATGCACCTTTAGAGTCTGATTGTGTCAAATTTGTAACATGCTTATGCTCATCTTCAGGTGCTAGGCATGGCCAGTTTTTAGAGGAGAAGGAGATCGATTTAGAGATTTCAAAGGTCAGAGAAAAATCTTGATTCTTCAAGCAGGAAGGAAATTCTGGAAAAGGTGGGTTTGCGAAGAAGAATTCAGCTTTCCAGAATTTCCTTCCTTCTTCATTGACCTTTACAAAATATCTTAATCGATCTCCTCTGACAAAAACTGGTCAGTATCATTACCCCTGAAGATGAACATCAAAGAAAAATAAAGCTGCCTAAAAGGAAAATAAAGGTATTTCAGACACAGGTGAAGCAATGGAACAGGTAACATTGTTATATGTCTTTTAATTACAAAGCTAACTATAAGATCTTAAAACTGGAAAATAATATCTACAAGTAAAAAAAATAAGCAAGAAAATCATAATTAGAGAGAAACAACGGAAATCGAAACTTGAAACATTCAGAGGAAACCCATATCAAAAACGAGTATAAGACCCTAATTAGATAGAAACAATGGAAATAACCTAGGATCCAAAGGAGGCAGAGACACAAAGGTGGAAGGAGAAGAAAAGAGGATTACCATGTTGAGGGCCCATTTCTCTTCGTCGTGAACCTGAGAGTGCCAGAAAGCTTTCAGCTTATCGATCGAGACAACTGTGTCCGCCATTACTGCAGCTAATCAGACCTTGGATCGTCTGATAGGGAAGTTCTAGGGTTTTCCGTCGATATGGTGATTCCGTCACTTTGTTGGGTTTAGGGTTTTAGAAACTTACGAAACTCTCGAAACCCTAAATGGAATCGATTTAACCGAGCAAGCATGAGTATCTTGTTATAGAATTCAGGCCCATCTTACCATTCGTGGGCCAAGCCCAATAGTTAAGCTTAGGGCAAACAGGCAATGTTTTGGAAATTCATAGATTTGTGGAGGACTGAAATGTAAATACCCGATTTATTTATTTTCTCTGCCGTACAATCTGCTACGCGCCGCCGCTCCTGCCGTTTGATAATCCACGCGCTTATTGCTGCCTGTGCTTACAATAATATCCACACTTGAAAGTAACGCTTCAGGTTGGGATTAACGATCTTGTCTCTCTCTTCTTGGTGGCTCGTCTCTAATCTAAAGAAATCCGGTTAGCTAAACCGGATTTAGTTCCCATTTTCTTCCGGTTTGCTGCCAATTGAGAAGTTACTATTAACGTATTTCGAGTATATAAATAGAGTTTAGTTAGAGAATAGTCGCTTTAGCAATTTAGTCTGGCTTTTGTCTCTTGAATATTTATTAAGGTTCTCTTTGGTTTTGCACCGGTTCATCTCCGGTTTAAATGGGGCAAATATCCCTGGTTTAGGTCCAAGAAGCTACTGAACATCGACTACACAAAAAAAAGAAAACTTTATCATGGATCTCTCGTGAAATTGAATCTTTATGAAGTACATAACATCGATGAAGGACAAAAAAATACAAACAAATGCGAACCAGGAAAAAAAAAACTAAACCGGGAAAATTCAAGCGTTTACCTTACCAGATGGAACTCAAGCCACAGACACAAGAAAAAAAATATCAAGAATTTACGGTGTTTTGGCACACCCTCTCTAATCCAAAAACGTTACCATGACGTCATCTCGAACCGTCAAGACGAGCCGCCGCCACCGCGGTGGCCGCCTCGCCCTCCTCTTCCGGGCTCGTTTTGATGAACCCTTTGGTAACCCTCTCCTCCGTTCCTCGGGATTGACCCCTTGGGTCGGCCCGAGAACTCGCCTTGGCTTCTGAACTCACCTCTTCCGTATCCTCCTCTTCCGCCGCCTCCTCCACCACGACCACCTCTGAAACTTTCGTTCCGGAAGCTTCCTCTTCCAGATGAATACCTCCCCCTACCGGTGTTGCTGCCAACTGTAAGAAGCAATCACCAGGTTTCAGACATTGGAAACTGAAGGTGGAGTTCTGTAATAGAATGGCTTACCTTGAGTGTTTGTCTTCTTCTCCTCTATAACAGCTTGACGGTCCCCAATCATAACTGGCGATGCCTATGATTGTACAAATAGGAAACAATAGCAATGCATAAAGGATCAGATTTTATGAATAGAAAATGAAAAGGATGAATACGAGATCTGAGGTTCGGTACCTCGAGTGCAGCCTGCTTGCCGCTAGATGTCTCGAATTCCACGAAACCAAAACAGAAACCTTGCTGCAAAGAATAGGGATACAAGATGGATAAGAATCTAAAGAAACGAGGGCTTTTAAAGAGTTGAAAGGGGGGGAGGGTGATATCACGATCGAACCTTGTTGCTTCTCACTTGAATCCCGTCATCCTTGATAGCTCCAAACTTCTTGAACACCTCTTCGAGTTGTGTAGGGGTGGCATCAAATGGCAAATTCCGGACATAGATCGAGTGACCATCGTCTGAAACGTGTAAAACACAAGATTGGAACAGAATAAATAACCCGGAACCAGAAGTACTGTCTCCAACGCCATAGGAAATTCATAGTTTGACAGAAAACTGACCTTCGCCATTAACATTGCTACTATCTGGAGCATTCTCATTACTCGGAGCAGAAGCCTCGGGTGTTGCTACAGGCTTGACGCGAGGAACAGTTTGCTTCTGGTTGGTGGACACAGGACCTGCCCTTGTCTTATTTGTAGCAACATGGGTTGTGGTTGGACCACTTTTCATCAGTTTGAGCTGCACAAAAACTCGGGCTTTACATGTTTTATGGAGAAAAGGAAAAATCGATACATATCAAGTCTAAGAGGGACATAGAACGAGGCATAAGGATCAAACTCACGATTGAAGCATACGATTGCTTAGGAGCATCCTCCTGTGACAAAGATGCCGCATCATCAGTGGAAAGAATTTCAGTGTGAGTAGGTTGAATCGGGGGTTCAACAATCTCGTCGTCAACTACCGATCCTTCATCTTTATCAGATGGGTCATACACCTCAGCCACGTTATCAAGATCTTCTTCCTCGATGGAGGCAACTGGCTCTGGCTCTGGCTCGTGACTATCAGTAACATGTTCTGACAAAAAAAAGTAAGACAATAAATATCGGAAACAAAGAGTATACGAATAATGAGACATAATCCTTCACATCCACATACCTTGTTCAACAGCCTGAACATTCTCGCTGATTCCATTGATGGTGACAGAACGAGTCTGTGTCAGCTCTTTCTCCTCGAGGAATCTGAAAACATCATTTAAGACAAAGAACCCTTTGTCTTGTGGAGCCAGAAAAAACGTTTGAGTGAACTTCTTCCTCACATTGTCCTTTCCGGTTAAGCTTCCCGTCACCAACACAATAACACCTTTCTCAAAAGATTCCTGAGCATCTGCTGTTTCTATCTCAGCAGTGTAGTCTTCATAGTTCAAAGACAGAATCTTATCATTGATTGCCTGCTCCAAAAGCAAGACCGAAGGAATGGTCAGACCAAGTTGCAAAAAACACAAAATCGACTAAAAGCACATTGAAGGGTCGCTTTAAAGCTAAGCTCACTTGCATAGTTGTCACGGTGGACATAGTGCCTGCAGCATCAGCCCGACTTAGCAAACTCGAATCCTGATAAAACCGATGAACCAACCCAGGAGATTGATGAAGAATGTGATAGTATTGCTCTACAAAAGCATGGCCAACAACCTCGGCACTCGGGGCAGGACTAGCTTCCTGCTTCGCCATCTACACTCAACATTGCAATTACATACGAGGAAGAATCAATGCTTCATTCATGAAGACGGCTTAAAATACTAACCAAGTTCAATGCTACTCTTCATTCATAGATGATATATCCGCTCATATATTAATCAATAATAAGAATGTTGTGCATCATTTAATGCTAATTAAGAGAAACCCTTGTTGATATCCAAAACCTAATATTTCGATCGATTCCGTCAACTTAAAAATGGATCGACGTCGTAAATAACGAATATAAGTCGAGGATCTCATGAACGCTGCACTTTCAATGATACTTCAAACACACAAAAACCCTAAAATCGACAAAAGATCAGTACCCTTAATTCGGACTCGGAAACGCAGAAAATAAAAGCTTGAGTAACAAAATTCGAAATTTACATCATAGATCAATCGGAAACAAAATGTTACACAAATAAGGAGCAGATCAAATGGAACAGAAAGACAGCAAACATACGAGCAAACCGCAGGTATAGTCAACGAGAATAGATCCGAAAAGGATCGAGCTTTACCTCTGCTTATTAGTGGTCTGGTGATCGCGCGACCGAGAAAGAGAAAAACAGAGATCTGAAGAAGCTTCCAAACAGGGAGAGAGCGACAGACGGAGAACGAGAGAGAAAGAGAAAGAGGCGAGGGACAAAAGGCAAAGCTGAAATCGGCCCACGAAGTCTTCGTATTGGGCTTCCCTTATTACCGCTCGTCTTGTTCTGTTCGGTTTATCCTCTAGATATCGGTCTGAACTTGGTACGTACCGGTTTACTAAACCTCGGTATACTGCTAACCGGACGACAGTATGATTTAACCAGACAGTATCTTGATACCAAATTGTAAAAAAAAAATCAAGAGAAATTAGTCTCCAACCAGGGGCAAAATTCTCGCTGCCATACATACATACATACATAATTACATATAGATATATAGAGAGATGAGGTCCTCGAATCTTTTGTGTGTATTCAAGCGTTGATGCTTTAAAGAAAAAACCTTTACTTTTGGTCCATCCCCTCTAGATCGAAGAGTCCCAAAATCTAGCTGTCAGTCTAAATACCATCCTCTATATACATAACATATGCGTGTGTATATATATATATATATAACAGGGCATTGATATTAGTCATCACAGAAATTTTATGAAAAAAGGTCTTAATATAGAGATGATGAAACATGTATGCTATATATATATATATATATATATATATTGGCGCATGATAACGCGTTGATTAGAGAACGTAATTTTTATTTTGTGGTAAATAGTTTGTGTGATTCTAATGTTATTCCCTACA